TAAAAACTCAAGTTCGATCTACGAAAGAACTAGGGTTTGTGGGTTTAAAGAGGTCTTTTATTAGAAGAAACCGAAGCTTGAATGAATACACGAGGGTTTAGGTCGTCGGAATAAGAACGCCGACCTAAACTTTTATGGAAAGTAAATCGAAAGCTAGAACAATCAGATTGCTTAGTTTGCCCTAGGTCTCGATAGATGATTTTTGGATCGGTTGAAGAGTCGATGACTTCCTTCATTTATAGCCGATCAGGTCGGTCTTCAATCTGCTTGGAATAGGAAACTCTTGTCGGCAAGGAGTTTCTTTTTTCCCGGGGTCGATCGATAAATAGAAGATTTCCTTTTATGTTACCGACCTGGAACTTTTTAGATGGGCCGACCAGAATTCGTATCGGGCTTGTTAGAGACGGTACGGATCTCATCTCTAACAGAAGTGAAGTAATATTGTAAGAACTCAAATCACATTTATAAAAGTAATAAAAAGTTTATGAGATTTAAAGAGTAATTTTTTATTAATATTAATTAGAGCTTAAGAAGTATTGGGTAATTAAATTATTGGAATAAAAACACTGCCCTAACTAATTAACAAAAAATCAAGATTTAAAATTGGGAAAGCAATAAACTAAATCTACCCTGAATCTTAAGAATAAAATTACGAATTCTTAAAAATAAAGAAGATCTATCGTTAAAAGAGTGATGTTCAAATAGCTACAAACTTTAATTTGGTTTGTAGCTATTCCCGAACCAATATAGATGAGATACTCGACACTTTTCCTTTCTTTTCTTGAAATGGCCATTGACAAGTAATCTTTTGTGGTTCGACTTGGTATGTAGTTACTAAGAACAGAGGGAGTAGAATCTTTTGTATTGAATATTAATGGGTGATTAGTTGGATTTTAAAAGCTATTATTATTTAGAGATTTTCGGCAAAATATTCTAGTTAGGATTTTAGGTTAAAAAAAATACACTGTCCGAAACTTTTTATGATAAACTTTTAACAGAAATCTATAATACATGTCGTTTTGAGCTAAAATATATGATAATTTTTGGGAGTTACAAGAATTAAACAACAAACGGTAAATATATATCACAACATTATAATTTTATAAATTGAATACGTACAATAATCTCACCTTATAAACATTTGAGACTACCAAATAAACTCAAATAATTTTTGAATTCGTCCCCAAGATTGCATTTATGTATTCTAGTTGTTAGTTAGGGAAAACAAATTGATTGGAAACACTAATCAATCATGCGGCTCAATGTCTTATGATTGAAACCGATAGAGAAGTGAAGCAGTTATTACTTTCGGGTAAGAGATCATGACTAGCTTGGATGATTTTAACTTTTAAAAAGTGTATTTTATTTTACGTCAACTTAATATCAGAAGTCGAGGGAACGCCGGAGAAAGAATAGTTGATTGAAAAGGAAGATGGAGAAGATAAAAATTTTTTTTTATTAATTTATTTGTTGTTTATGTTTTCATTCGTTTTCTTTTCTAAATTAAAAATAATAATAACAGTAGTAAAAAGAAAGAGTAACTAAAAGTCATTTTCATGCCTTATTTATAAACATTATTAACTGTTACTTTGCCAATAATTATTTGGTGCAATGATTTCTTAATTGGTTCAAATATGTTTTGGCCAGTTTGATCGATGTCCCTAAATATTTCTCTCCAAATTTGTATACTTTTTCAAAAAAAAAAAAACAGTATTAACTGTTCCGTTAAATATTTTGACAGCACGTACTTTAAATCTAGTTTGAAGATTTTTTTGTGTTAATATTTTTAGTTTTAGGGTTTACACTTTATAGTGTGATTTAGACACCTCGAAGATGCAAAATGTTAGTAGAAGTCATTTTGATGGTTTTTATACCACTTTCTCTTCTTATTTTTGTGTGTAAGGTATGTATATTGTTTCATTTCCCTTAGTGTACACAAAATTATACATTTAATTCGTGTTTTAATAATCCAACCTACTATCCTACATTTAATTCGAGTTTTAATAATACAACCTACTATCCTACATTTAATTCGAGTTTTAATATCTTACATTCAATTTTATACAAAATTTTACAGTTAGTAGGTTGGATTATTAAACTCAAATGAGATATTCATATTAATTAGTGTGATAGTTGTACATTGATTTTATGGGTTTTTTTCATTACTTATATAGGAGTTTGTAGAGTTTTTTTATTGGGCATGGAGTACTTATTAGCCCAATTTTTTATTACTTTTTATTACATACATATATTGGAATATGTAAATTAGGGGTGGGCGTTCGGGTTATCGGATCGGATCGGATCGGGTATTTTGGATTTCGGATATTTTGGAACTATAATTTTTAGTACTGATCGGGTATTTTTAAAATTCGGACCGGATTCGGTTCGGATCTCTCCGGATTCGGATCGGTTCGGATATTATATTTCGGATCCGATTTTTTTCAGATCCAGTTTGGATTCAAGTATTTTTATCCAAAAGTAACCGAAATACTTCAAAGTAATAATGAAATAGCTAAATTTTGAAAACACTGCAAACGAAACTAAACATCAAAAGAAAGAAAGAAAGTGGAAAAATAAAACTAAACGTAAAGAACTTCTTGATATCTTCTTCTTCACTTGATATTTCTACAAACTGCAGAAACTCAAAAAGATTTACAAAAAGCTCTTACACTTATGTATAATTTTTAATTTAACAATGCAAATAATAACAACTTCAATCAATTTTCTGAACAGTTATTATTTAGAATTAGTAAATACAAACTTGTATCCATTCTCAAAATGAATTTGTATGGATACTCACACTTGTATCGATCCTGAAATAAGTATATACAAACACACACATACAAACAATAGTTGAGCAACTGCTCTGTTTTCTGAATAATTCATGCTTCTTATTCATCATACTATTATTAAATCTTTGTTGCAAAAACCCAGAAACAGAGATTAAAGAGACAAACTTGAATTGTTAATTAAGAGAAACAATAAATTTTAGAGTTTAAAAAAATAGTAAGTCGACACAAAGGAAAAGATTAAAACTAAAAGCATCAAACATATACATAAGAAGAAATCGATATACTCTGATGGAGTGTGAGAAATTCCATATCTGAGACCGAAATTGATTTTTTGATGTCTCGGAAGGAACATAGGCTGCATAGAAAAAATTAAAGGATTCCAAATTTTGGGATATAGAAAATGGATACTCATCATGATTGAGTGAATAGATATTTTCTATGTTTTTGACTTCAAAATCAGAATTGAGTGATGTGTTATCGTTAGAAAATAAGATAAGAGGATTTGGATCGGATACTCGGATATTTTGGATCGGATCGTGTATTACCCGGTGCCCGAAGTACAAAGAAGAATGCTCCCGATCAAATATTGTGTGGAATCTGAATCGGATATTTTTGGATCGGATCCGAATTGGATTTTCGAATCCGGGTAAAATGCCCACCTGATGTAAATATTACTTATTGAAAAAATATAGTAATCAATCGTGTATTAGATTAAATGCTTTGTATATATACGTTGGCAATTATATAGCATATCAATACAAAAAAAACTTTCATACAAAACCTAGACTTCTTGACATTATGTTTGAATTTACCCGAACAGGTGCACCCATATACAGTTAGTTGGATCCGTCCCTTTCTATAAATAATCTTTTTTTTTTTTGAAAAGGATAAATAATATTCTTGACTAAACGAAAACAAACACAAAACGTCAATTTTTTTTTTTTTACAATTTGTTTTTTGATAACTGTTTTGACAATATTTGTTTTTCTTTACACTTCTTCCATTCCTATTAAGTGATCGATGTTTTGAAGCAAAAATTGATATTGTAGATTTCATTTAATATATTTATTTTAAAGTAAAACTTTATATTATTCTCACTATTCAAAAGATGAAAAGCAAAGAAAAATAGTTATTAAAAATTGATAATAATTATTTCTTAATATTTATGAAAATTTAAAACATCAATCTATTAGAAACGGAAGAAACATCATTTTTGGCTATGCCATGAGCTCTTGTCAAGTAATATCCAATCATTTTGCTAAATATATTGTTGTGACAGTGGCCAACAATATCGGTCCGGGAATAGTCTGAACATAAACCTTGTAAATCCAAATATACGATTTAGGAGAGACGTGTTGCAACACATTTGCAACAAATTTGCCCACGCGTTTTTAATAGACACACATTTAAAGCAGTCCATATTATTAAGAATTTTGAAACCGCTTGGTCTAAATTTCAACAGAAATTCTTGGTCTGCTTACCAATGACATTTATGTTGTTTAAGCAGACAGTCCATCTTTGTGGAAATTTAATTAGACCAACATTTTTTAAATAGACCATTCACATTTAAAAGAGACAGTTCATGTCTTTCTGGAAATATATTTTTTTGTTTGAAAAAAGGAAAAAATCTTTCTGGAAATATTGAAAAGAAAGATTTTTTTATTGTTTGGTTTATTTTATTTGATTTAATTTATTTAGTAGAAAGAATTTGAAGGGAAGAAATTAGGAAGGTAAGAGAGGTGTGGAAAGAAAAAGATTTTTCTGGAAATATTGAAAAGAATGGTTGTACTATTATTTTATTATACATTAAATAAATATAATGTCATCGGTGACATAAATCCACCTGCAACATGTTTCTAATATTTTTCTTTTTTTCTTTTTTTCATAAAGAGTATTCTATTGAAATGCATAATGAAATTTGTAGGGTCAAGTACGATTTGGAGATTGAGAATAGAGATCATTTCTAGAACTCACAAAAAAAGAGAGCATAAATCCCACAGACAACGGGAAATGAAACTCACGATCATCACAGTAGTAATGGGGACGAACATGGTCGTAGAGGGCCCGAAATCAAAGATCTCTTGCTCGTATCTCTTATTATGTTCGTCATCATTCATGTTTGACTTTACTGGTGAGGTTGAATCCATGCGTGGATAGGTTGAGTTCAAGAGTTAACTCTAAGAAGCCAAAGATAATGAAGAGAATCCTCTAATGACCACATCCTTTGACATGTTCCACCTTCTAATGCGAAATCTAATAGATTTTGTGCATATGCACCGATCGGTGACTTACAGCCAAAAGAAAACGTAAAGCCAAATCCATAGATCCGATGACTTGGGCAAGACGCTAACTCCATAGATGAGAGCAAGTTGGGGCAAGAATCCATTACTCCAACAGAGACTAGGTCTGGCATTATATATCTAGGTCTAGTTGTTAATAATATTTCTTAATATAATAATTAAAACTAATAATATTTTACGTGCATACCTTGAGATTCTCAGCATCATCTGTCGTCCAATAATGTGACTTTGATGAGAAATACACTTCATGAGACCGATCTTGAACATTATTCTTCTTGCAAAAAGGCAACCAATGCTCAGAGAACTTGGCAGCCTTTTCAAAAAAAAAAAGATTTCGGTCTACGTATCGGACGATGCAGGCTCCCTCGTTGACTTTGTCTGCTTTGATAGAGGCTGCCAAGTTTTCGGAGCATTGGTTGCCTTTTTGCAAGAAGAATAATGTTCAAGATGACAAGATCGGTCAACGAAAGTAAGCCATCACAGACCAAAATCCTGTCGAACGGATAATCGTAGGCCATCACAGACAAAGCGGTGTTGAGCGCCATCATCGGAGACTTCTTGTACGGATCAGCCGTGCATATAAACACGTCAAGCTTCGGAAAGTCCTCCTCCGGTTTAGCTGCATATTTCTCAGGGTACTCGGACCGGTAAACCGGACGGAAACTGAGATGGACCACATGAAAGCGAGAACGGCATTGGAGAGGAGAAGAATAAGTGTTATTAGAGTTGTCTTTGCTGTGAGGAATGAGTTTACATGATGGTACATGAGGGCTACAATACCACACGTGTGAAATACGGCGTAGATTCTACGTAGAATGCTGCGCCGGCACGGATGACACGTGTGGAGGGTTGTGCCGCCGATTTCTCCATCGTTTAATTCCTTTTATTTTTTAAGTAGAACAAAAACTCACATGATTACTTATATTTATAGGCGAGTTTCTTTGGTGGAGTAGAAATGTTTTACACAACAACTCTGCGATTTTAACAATATGCAAATTAATGAATAGTTTAAATTTGTAAAATCGATACTCCCTTCATTAGAGTATTACTTAACTTTAATAAGTTTAATCATTAAGAAAATGTTTAAGATGATAGGTTAATAAAGTATATTCGAATAATTTCATGAAAAGGTTAATGGATTCTCTGTAAAAAAAGGTTATTTATCAGTAAAGGATTATAAAGCTTGTGATAATCAATCTTAGCAATATTTTCCAATATATAGATACACACGTATACATATGAATTCTTGTAATCTTTATTTTTTATATCAGTTTTCGTTTCTTCCTTCTTGAAATGTATATTGACGTGTTCATTTTTTAAAGATGGTATTATTTGGCGAGTTTTCAATGGAAAAAAACAAAAGTTATAGTGGAAGATATCATCGTATGGATGATTCGATGAAGATAGAGACTAATCGTGAGAGCCACTGCCTTCACATCGGCGATAGAGAAGATGAAAGAGTACAAAAACATTAAATACCATCGTCACTTCATTATCTAACACGTAGCGATATCGTAGTACCACACGCTTCGTGCACTTGGGATGTTTACGAAATGTTAACTGTATTTGTAAGATACATATACAGATAAATAATTGCATATACAGTTACAGTTACAGATACAAGCGTAACTCATTTGTGAGTGTGATTGCTAAATACTGCATTTGTGTCACCTTTAAAAAACTAATGAGATAATGTTGGGATGTACTGTATAATCTATTGAAACCTGAGATCACTAAATTGCAAGATCTTGAGCTTGATCATATCAGGAGATAAACAATACAGCAGCGATGTTGTTAATTCGTTGAAAATTATGATGATGAATAAACGACTGAACTTTCATTTCGTTGTAAACCCTTTATTAAAAAAAAAAAAAAATTCATTTGGTTGTAAATGTGTCGCTATTTATATCAACGACGACTGATCATTCCCAATATAGATGAGATTATTCGACATACTCTTCCTTTCTTTTCAATTTAGTACTGTCACACTTACGCATGTGTAGGATAGTATTAGTAGGTTGGATTATTAAAACTCAAATTAACTGTAAATTTTGTGTCCATTAAGTTAAGTTAAGGGGAAAATGCCAAAACAACCTTCCAGGTAATAAAAAAAAAAAGCAAGATCAACACAAATATAAGAAACTACAAAATATATACATACATCTGATTAAGTATCGTAAAAAAAAAATTGGAAATCTAAAGTATATCGTTTTGACATATAATAAAAATAGTTAAAACTTAAAATAATCCAACTCATGATCTCTTACCCAGAAGTAAGTACGTAACTATTACTACTTCACTTCTAGGTTCCAATAGAACCCATAAATGCAATTTCAGGGACGAAATTAAGAATTGTTAGTAATCTCAAACGTTTACGAGGTGAGAGTAATATATTCAATCTATCAGGAGACCATTTAATTTTATCATAAAATGTGATATATTATATGTTTTGTTGTTTAATTCTTTTAACTCCCATCTATTTTATGTCTTTTCTTTCCCACTGCAATCTGTTTTATGTCATATTATAGGTTTCTATTAAAAGGTTGATCATAAAATTTGTTTTAAGACTGTATTTTTTCAAATCTAAATGTAGATTATTTTTCCGATTCTCTCTAAATCAAAATAGCTTTTTACAGCTTTTAGAATCCAACTAATACAAAAGGTTCTAAAAATTACCAGGACAGGTTAAGTTAGATCCGCCCTTGCCTATAAATAAGAATCTTAACTAACGATTTGAATCCAAAACAATCACAAAATTTCAAATAACAAATAATAATGAAAACACCATTGAAAATATTCGTCGTTCTTTCCATCATTTTTTGCAATGGCATGAGCTCTTGTCAAGGAATATTCAATCCTTTTGCTAAAAACGTCGTCACAGTCGCCAATAATATCGGTCCAGGAATAGTCTGAACTTTACATTGTGAATCCAAAGATGACGATTTCGGAGAGCATGTGTTGCAGCCCGGACAAGATTTCATGTGGAAATTCAGACCAAACGTTTTCAAAACAACACACTTTTCCTGCAGTTGTGTTTGGCATAATCAGCGTAAATCGTTTGACGCATGGACATCTGACGACGACGAAGGTGTGTGCACTAGATGTCATTGGTCTATTAAAGCACACAGTCCATGTCTTTCTGGAAATATTGTAAAGAAAGTTATGTGCCATCCATGGTAGAACAATATTTTATTCATGATTTCGAATGGTTGTATTATTAGTATTATTCTTTAAAGAAAATAATAATGGTATTGTTGAGTGTTGACATACTACGAAAATCCAATCTGCAATATGCTTCTTGTGTTTGTGTTTCATAAGGTCTTGGTATTTTGTTAGAAGTTTAGTTACTTTGCTTGCATGCAACAGTTATAATGGGGCTGCTTCGGATACGAAAACACGTTTTGGAATTTTTATACGACATCGATTGTGTTTGACGTTTTATTAATGCAAAACAAAGAGTAATTATTTTTTGCACCACGTTCTCATATATTGTTGTGTAGTGTAGTGAGCTTTTTGGGCTTCTTTGTACTGGTTCGTTGCCCATTGGGCTTTCAACAGAGTAATTCAAGTTCGCTCTCTATATTATTTTTTCCTAGTTTTATGGTCTATAATGATGTTTTTGAAACACCAAAAGCTCCAATAGATCTTAAATAATACAATGAGAATCTAGACTTTTCTGCGAGGTATACATTCCCTTTTCTCATGCTGCTATGCAGGGTGATTGGAAAACAGCGGATGTGTAGATGTGATTGTAGTGTAATTTATCCTATGGGTTATGTACAGGCCCGGCCTTGAGCCCAAGCAAAGCAAGCCCATGCTTAAGGCCCTTTTTATATAGCAAATTTCGACCCCAACTTATGGAATATGTCTTTAGTCTAGTGGTAAATTGAGTAAATATCTTATCCTTTTGACCCGAGTTCGGACTACAGAGTTGCGAAAATAATTATTTTTTTTGGTTTTTGATGTTTTTTAATAAACTAAAATAGCCCATTATTTTTTGGAGCTTGTGTATAAAAGTCAGGGCCGGCTCTGGTTATGTATGTCTGCTGCATATTATCGATTTATCATTTATTTTTTAATTAAAAAATAAATATAAATCAAATTTGACAAATTAGTTATAAAATTAAAAAAAAAAAATTTACTTTTGAGCAAATATTTTGTACAAAACTATGCAAGTATATTAATGCAAATAATGTAATATCCCATCTGTTCTTAAATGATGAATGTTTTAGAGAGAAAAAATTGTTTCAAAAAACACCAATATCATATCTTGCTACATCCAACATTGCTTTGTATAGTTTGTTTATGGATTGCCACTAATGTGCATCTGTTCGGCATTCCTATACTTGTTATTAATGAGATATGAGTTAGCATCATGGTGATATTTATGATTTATTAATATTTTTGTTGTTGTTGTGATCAATCAAACAACCATTATTATTTTGGTATTTGAATTTTTTTTTTTGCACGAAAATTGATCATTTTTTTCACAAAAAATAATCATTTTTTATTGCTCTTAGCAAACATTGCAACCGCTACCAAGAATGACATGCTCTACACTCTGGGCTTTAATAACTGTAGTCTGCATTTGTGTGTCATTTATACAATTTAAAATAATTAACTTTTATTACTATTTACTTATTAGTAATAAAGAAAAATAAGACTTACCATAACAGATACGTGAGAAATATATATGATGATATTGCATAGACAACATGCAATATCAATTACAAGTCTGAAGTGTGGTGGTAAGAATGACCACACATATGATCTCGAATACCAAAACACAAAACCAGAAGTAAATGACTATATAGACCGCCGTGATGCTACTACACCTATACCATTAGTAGCAAGTATCGGAGTGCTGAAGAGGTGCACCAGTGGCAATCCGTAAATACACCATACCGTGCAGTTCTCGAGTACAGCCAAATAAGGTATCAGTGTCTTCTCTCCCCACTGATCTATTTTTGATTATATGTATAATGAATGGCCTAATTGATAATAAAATATTAGTTTAAATAACTTGCGGTTTACTATACATTATTTGCCGTTACATACAATTGACTAATATTATATAAAACATTTCCCCAAAACTAAAATTAATTTGTTAACTTCAAAACTACTTCGTTAACTCTGATTTAAATTTTATGTATTTTTAATATCATTTAAAATGTAGAATTTAAGTTTTTCGTCCAAAGATGCACTAGTAACGAAGATAGGAAATTAGGAATGCCAAAAATGCACTGAGTACAATTACCATGCAATTAGTGTTACACTTGCATGCTATGACTCGGTTATGGGCTACTAACTACTATAAGTACTAACACTGGCGGCACAACTTCAGTATTATATATATTAGATTATAAGATTCTGACATTTTTAATGAAATTCATTATTATTTGTTTACGAATTTTGATATTTATAATAAAGTTCTTTTCATCTCCGAACTCCTCCAACTATGCTTCCAAAGTGTCCTAATTTATTAGTCAGATTATGTTTTGCTCATATTTTACATATAATTTACATATATTATGATCATTTTTGTCTATCTATTTTCTTTCTTCTTATTTCAATGTTAAAAATAGTAATAATGTGTATATTTATAGATATTTAATTGAAAATTTACCAAGAACGAACTCAATTTAATGTTTTAAAAATATTTGATATATAATTATATTAATTACACAAAACTGAAAACATCTAACTTTTGATTTTGAGGGATAGACGTGTAGTGTCCCCAACATTAATCTACTAAATACAAGTCTCTCTTCTTTTAACTATAACTGTGCTTCGTTAAGATAGCAAAAAGAAAATCACTTAGCTCTGTTTAACATATCTATAGTAGAAACGTAAGAAAATCATCAAATGAAATGGTGATATAATGAGAAAAGTTGTGAAATAGACTAATGGTAAATTTTCCATTGTCGTTATTGTTAACATGGTAAAATTCAGAATCTAAAAAGGAACAATTACGTAGAATAGTGTAACATATTTATAGGTACGCTAATTAATTAATTAAAATATAATGTTTTATTAAAATATATTAAAATATAACGTTTTATTAAAATATATTAAAATATAACGTTTTATTAATGAGAAAATTTAGGTTTATACTCCCAAATTAGGGTATATATTTGAAAAGTACATCACTATCAAAAAGTAGGGTTAATTAAAAAGAGTAGTTTTCAAAATCAACTTTCTATCTAAGGTATTTTGCCAATTGTCCCTTATTAATTAGCGTACCTACAAGCAAATTAATGTCTTAGAATGAGAAAACAAACAAATTTTAACATATGGTGATCTTATGGATGACTTTGACTTAACTCTTAAATATTGAAATAAAAATAAATCAAACTTAAATAAATAAATAAATGGAAGAATAGCTGACTCTATAAATATGCATATTCCCTGAAATGCTATAAAAGGGGAGCAAACGTGAGAGGGAGAGAGGATGAACAGAAGAATAAGAGAGAAGATAGGTTATTTGCCAAAAAAAAAAAAAGATAGGTTTAGTTTTTATTTTTGGTTTTCTGTTTTTGGTTTGCAATCAAATTGATGCAACTCTTTTTTTTCCTCCAACTATGCTTCCAAAGTGCCTTAATTTATTAGTCAGTTTATGTTTTGCTCATATTTTACATATATTATGATCATTTTTTGTCAATTATTTTCTTTCTTCTTATTTCAATGTTTAAAATAGTAATAATGTGTATATTTATAGATATTCAATTGAAAAATTACTAAGAACGAACTCAATTTGATGTTTTGAAAATATTTGATATATAATTATATTGATTAACTGAAAACATTTAACTTTTGATTTTTATTTTTAATGAAATTCAATATTATTAGTTTACAAATTTTTGAAAATTTTGATATTTTTAATAAAGTTCACTGTTATTAGTTTGATGATTTAAATTACTCTATTCACAATCTTATTTTCTCCTTTTATGTTCGTTACATCTTCATATCTCTTACACACAAATTTCTAATAAGCAAACAATAAAAACTTACAGAATCTAACTTGAAAACAGAAAACTCTCTCCCCATACATAAAACCTTTGTTCTCCACAAGAAGCTCCCAAAAAAAAACGAGCCATTTTTTTAAGCCTTACACCTTTCTTGTGACAAGAAGACAGGGATTCATGTTTAAGCCATTTCTGATCTTCCCTCGAGACAACTCCCGAAAAGACACAGAACAAGACAACTCCCGAAAGACAAATCAGATAAGAAGGTGACAGAGAGTGATAATTAGTTGGAGTGGTTATCTGTTTTGGAGTTTGTTGTTGTTAATGTTGTTTCAACTTCCGTAAACAGCATCCGGAGATGGTTCCCCGGCGTCATTTTCTTCACTTCCTCTTTCGACCATATGAATATTCTCTTCACCATGCTGCAGAACTCACTGCAACCACACAATGTAAGCCATTTTGATTTCCTTATCAACTGATATCAGTTTTGTGTATGGTTCTATTGAATACGAAAGAGAGAGAGTGTTACTTACGGCCATGGGTCATCACCGACAAGCATCATATCTCCCTCATCGTCCGTGAACACTATTTCCCATTGACTGCGACTCCGAAGTTCGTCTTTCATGTCAAACAGCTTCTCTAGGTCGTCTATAAGCTCACTGTACCCACTTAGTACTGTTAAATCCACAGCCCTGCCCACGGGTACGCCTTGCATTTGCACCTGTGTTCACCAATATATATCTGGTTCATATAAAATGAGACGTATATGCGCTTATATGTGAGTAACAAGTGTTCACTACATACCTTGGTGCGGCTTCTTGTAGAGCTGCTTTGCTTGCTTTGTACCTCTTTCGGTGATGCCTGCGCAGGTTCCTGCTTTTTCTCTTCTGATTCTTTTGAAATCTCGGATTTTGGGTCTGAGTTGGTCTCCAGGGTCGGTTTGGTTATGTTGATTGGTCGCATAGGTACAGGTTTCTCCTCGGGAGAGGAACTCATCAGATCGATTCCGAATAATCTATAACTAGAGGTTGTCTCGGGTTTCTTCTGCTCGACTGGGAACACCATTTGGTCATTCAGCGTTGAGTCCTTTGACACACTGGACACAGCGTAAGGGCTAATTGGCCAATCAGAATTCTTAACATCCTCAATCGCAACACGATAGTATTGCTGAGGAGGATTCCTCTGCGAGGTGATGCACGATTGTGCAAACTCATGAGATTGCGTCAATACAGAACTCCAAGGATTTGAAGCCGTTGTGCCTACATCTAAATACATAATGTGTGAGTGAGATATGTAGCAAGGAAGCTTGAGCTACGTACTAGCAAGGGAAACTGACGATTAGATTGTGCCTCACCAAGTGCAGATACTACTACTTCACTGACTTGACGGGGCCTTTTGTTCTTTAGCACAACTGACTGGGGAACATTCTCTGAAGTTACAAACGGCTCGATTTCCCATGGTGAAACCTTATCGGGTCTTGAAATCGATGCTGGCTCATCCCACTGAACCTACACACAAAAATGTAGCAGACTGATTGAGTTCTTTTCACTTTAGAAACATTTTAAGTATTAAAAGCGGAAGGAATTTTACTTCTAGGCATCGCCATTTTGAGTCTTTCCAGTGAGGAGAGCAATCTTTGCCGCCAACAACCGTGCCAGAAAATCTTTGTAAAGAAACAGATGTGTTAAGAGAACAGCTTTGGGGACAGAGAATCTGCAGGGGTACATAACAAAGAAAAAAATCCTACCTTCTTTCAGGGGAATCCTCTCCTTCAAACCGCATCTTAAATCTCATCCCTACAGAGAACTTATTGTTCATGGCTTCCAGATATTTGTTCAAGCTTATGATGAATTGGCTAGTCCTGCTCAAACCGAGACTAAATCAATAAGCAGAGTGTCGAAGAAACTCATCCCAGATGTCCCACTAGAGTAATAGCTGTGTATACCTTGGTTTATAGTATACTGTGAACATAGTTCGGGTTTGAGTAGCATGGCATGCGGTAGCAAGCACTCCCAGATGCATGCTATGACTTGATATGACGGATGAAGGCATACTGCTCTGTTGACGATTAGCACGTCTGACTCCAACGCGCAACTCTCCGTTCTCCCCTCTGGCCAATATAAAATTCAAGTCAAAAATCTAACTTTGGAGAATCAAAGGAAACAAAGCAAAGTAGCAGTGTGAAATATATACCTCAGGAATACAAAGGTGTCCCCAGCAACCAATCTCTTTGATGTAACAAAAGTGCTCCACCCTGTCGTCAAAAGATGCCTCCGTGGTTGGCCTGTTTAATAGGTTTCAGGTAGAACAAGATGAGTAATCACAAAACCCAGTTTCTCAAATGAGTGTATCTTGTGGGTATGGCCCAGAGGAAATCTCATAATTTTCACTTTAACTTTGTCATAGACACATGAAGTTGACCTGACTTTCACAGGAAATGGATCCATCACCTCTAAAAATATGCTTGAATTTCCACTGATAACCGTGCACATCTTCAGCTACTAACTCCTGGGTCGGGGTTTGCTGGGTCATATCCTGAAGGATGACAGCAAAATGAAATTCATCTTGAAGGCTGAAATCTAAGTCAAATGTGAAAGCCATTTGGTAGGAAACTAAGCAAAAATTCTTCACAGGGTGTGGTAATACCAGCGGAGGAAGGCATTCAGTCGCATGTTTCCTTAGAACAGAGAATCCACCATGCGTGCTTGTATCAGACGCTGTCAAAACCTTACTGAAAGAGTGAACTTTTGGCCTTTGCAACTCCGGAGGAGAAGGATCAGGACTCATAGGTTCATCAACTTGCTGCAGTTTATATAAATTCAGAAAACAATTAGAGATGGCTCACTCATTGGACGTAAGAAAGCTGCAACAACTTAAAGGTCAACTGAATTGTCTGTCACTCACAGTTCCTTCAGGCATCAAAGTAATCTGAGCATAGACCTCGTCCGTGTCTTTCTCCGCCTGACAACAAAACAAGTGACAACCTTGAGCTGATCAACAATTAAACTTTCATTCAAAAACAAAAATATTCTATGAGGAAGTCAAACAAGATCCTGAACTTCAACGTAGTCGCTATTGATAAGTCTAATCATTCTTCAAGCTTGTAAGGTTATGCAGAATCCATCTATTACTCCTAACAAATGGTCATTTCATGGATGAAGAAGAAGAAGAACACATCATCAAGTTAATTCCCTAGCTAGACATTCCAAAAAGCTCCAAAATAGTCTATAGATGGCGAATCAATTTGTACTATTAGTTGGTCCATGGATCTATGTTTCATCAGACGCCAAGAGAAGCGTAAAGAGAGAATCAGGAAGCGAAAATTGAACCTGAAGACTGACGTTCATAACTCTGCAGAGAATCTTTGGAGGAAGATCGAAAAGCGGCTTCATCGTAAATAAGTCCTGTTGCGTCGACGCTTCCAGCTGAAAATTTTCAAAAAAACGCGACCAAAAATAGAAAAAAAAACAAAATTCTCAAAAAACGATAAATCCGAACAACGATCTATAAAAAATCAAAAAGGAAAATGGAGCTTACTTGTTCCATGTGCCCTTGAGGGAAATAAAACACTCTTTCCTCAGCTTGAGGAACATCAACCAGAGGCCCCGCGCATAGTTTCCATAACTCGTCGTACAAATGTTCTCCGCCTCCGTCACCTGTTTACCGCCAAAATTCTTAGAAAATGTCGCCGGAAAAAACAGCGTGCCGATTTCTCACTTCCACCTAAACAACAACAACAAAAAACTATTACCTCCGCGATTCGCCATAATCTCCAGCTTTCAACCAGCCGCCGCCGCCGCCGCAAAGTCAAAATCAAAATCCAAAGGTGATTAAAGCTTCTCTCAACTCAATCACCACACACACACTCTTCAGTCTTGTATCTCCGATCAACGAAGCTGAGCAGCAACAGTCCAGAATAATGCGAATTGAATTGTAGAAAGCCGCAAGCCTTGGAATCCGCTCTCCACGTTTTCTCTCTGCTCTCCTCTAATGCATGTAACGATCGCGAGATCTGAATCGTAACGCAACGAAATCACCAATCCTTGCTCTGTAACTGTAATCTCTCTCTCTCTCCCGTAAAACCGGTCGTATCGCCTCCCCCAGCAACAACACCTTGTCTCTCTTCGTGACTGACTATCGTCAAACAACGCCGTTAAAAATAAAATAAAAAAGAATCTTCTTTAAGTCGCTCGAAAACCCCGTTTAAGAAGCGCGTCTTCAAGTTACGCCACACACCTTCGTTTGCTTTTATCTCCGTTTCCCTGTCTCTACCTAAAAAACAATTCTTATTTTTAATTACTTATTTAGTAGTACTACTGTATATTGATTTTTAATATGTAGAAGAAAAATATATTCACTCAATTTTTTATCGTATAACTTATTGTGAATATGTTATCCAAATAGTAGTGTGTACAACTCATTATTATTTTCTAAATATTGAGTCAACAAAAATTTAAAACTTGTTATGCAAAATAAGTATTATCAAATTTATCAATTCAATGAACAATGCATTTACTTTGTTAATTTTTTTTGTGAAAATGAAAGTAATGATCACATTTATCAGCATCACAATGGGTTAATTATCTTAACCCATTTCTCAATTAATCGATAAACAAATCAATTTACAGTAAGTTTTGACCTTCACAAAAAAATAAAATAAATAAATTGGTGATAGACTATACTCTTTTGATTTTGTACCTGAAACAAAGCTGAAGATCAATTTATTTTTGAAAAAAAAACTTATAGAAACAGATTTTCCTTTTAAGAAAATAATTTGGTTTACTTTTGAAAATTTTGATATTTTAATTTAATAAAATAAGAAATTTTTATACACTATTATAGAAAAACACTTATTAGTTAAAAAAAATCTATTTGAATATTCTAGTAATTAAAGCAAAATTTATAAGTTTAGGAGTAACAGTTTATACATAGCTTTTTTACCTTTCTATACGTATACTAAATAATAATTATATGCAACTGCTGCGTTCGTGTGTGAAGAAAATAAATTACGGGATAAATCATAAATGTGTTGGCTTTTAAGGCTGGTACGGAGCGTGAAGGCGCGTGCCGTGCCTTTACGGTAACGAAAGTCGACAAGGAGAGGCTTAACACCCGTTATCGTCAAGCTTTCCGTCACTTTCACCGTCTGCTCCAACGCAGGCAACAGGATTGGCTAGAGTTGGAAAGCAGAATCAGGCTTGACCTCATATTTTGGGTAAATTACTTTTCTGCCACTCTAAAGTGGGACCAACATAAGCATGTGGGAAGCGTTTGGATCTCTGCTTTTTTTCTTTATTCATGGTTTCACTTTCACCAATTACTCCAAAAGGCAATGGTTAAAAGCGTTTTCCTTCTGATATAAGTATAACTCACAATTTTTTACTTCACTACAAGATTTGGCAATTAGCTTTATCTTCTAGCTTTATCTTCTAAACATTTGCACCATCTCCAGTATTGTATTGCATGTGTTTTTGTGTAATATATATATATATATATATAACTAAGTGCACTTTAGATGATCAATAAATTATAAATTTGCATTAAAAAAACACGAATATTTGCTGTAGTCATTCATTCATTTGGCAATGAATAATGCCAAACTTTTCAAATAAAAGGCAAAATAGAAAGATGAAAAGTCTATACTCCATAGTCCATCTTTTTATTCACCAATAAATTAGTTACTTTATTGTTTACTTCTGTTTTTATTATGTTTAAAATATTATTAAACCTGGCAAAAAACGTCACCTATGACGTTATTATTGACAACTTCTGTTTCCTTTAAGGATATAAATAAGCAAGATGCCTTCAAACCCACCACCACCATCTCCGGATTTTCTCTTACTCATTTTGGACTATCTTATTCTATATTTTTTTAAATAATAACTTGGTATCTTGTCCCCGTATATTCGCAAATGTAACAATTTATTTAAAAAATCATTCATTTTCATATAACTCCCACATGTTTGGTCTCAAGTGAGCTCAATTCATTTACCGAGTTTTAGTCAATTTAGTACTATTTTTATATTGATTTAGGTGAATTCCATTGTTCATCTATTTTTAAACTTGCTTTGCTTTTAACCCCATATATGGGCCATAGTCAATCGATATAGTTACTCTATAGTGTATATAGGGCATGCCACTTATTCAAAGCCTTGACGATTTCTCTTGATCGTGTGTTTTGGACATATTTTAAGAAACATCTTCTCTATTTTTTCGATTTAGATGCTTATATCGGGGAAATGACAAGTACATATATATCATTGCGTGTTTATTTTTTTGTCTTCGAAATCATTGACATTGACTTGGTAAATTCATCACCGAGAAGTCAATGAATCTTCTAAGAAAACAAAAAAAGACTCCATATCTCTTTGTGGCATATTCCCTGCTTGCATCTCTATAAAAAAATATACATAGCAGAAAACTAGTCATGTTTGACCACAGAGAGCTGGAAGCATGTAATATGCTCAAAGAATGAGTTTCATCTTAAATTTGAGAAAGTTTTTACGAGAACCTGGGAACAACGGAGCAAGAATAGAAATAATAATCAATTTCTTAAATCTGTAAAGTATGTAATATTGTGCTATAGTTTGTTTTTTGATTAGGTCAATGACTATTGAGCTATTTCTTTTGCATGTCGATGATTAAAGTAAAGATCAGTACAAAATTAGTTTGATGTTATCAACTATCAGCGTCGATATACGATAAGTATAGACCATATAGAGCTTTAGGCTGCTTAGCCACGGTCGCAATTTATTATTATCACCCACACATAAAACTTGAAAATCTGTGTATGTGTACTTAGAAATTTACAATCATATATGTCCTACAACTACAAGTGGCTTACGCAAAAGGAATGATAGAGTTAGCAGGCCTTGTACGTACATATACACAAAACCCAAATAGGACGATAGTGGGAAGGATAATTTGGATCTATACATCTATAATTATAATTTTAAAATATAATCCCGAATGAAATTAAAATTTTATTATAAAACATAAAAATGGTGCCAAAAGGAGAGAAATTGCCAATGAAAGTAAGGATTTGTGTGAATGATTGTCTTTACACTATAGTCATTGTTGCGCCACAATGGTTGGAAATCGAATTTTGTATAAGTAAGCTTTATTGCTTGACACCTGCCATTTTACATAATGGACTATACTTTATATTATGTATATATATGTTCGTGTGTGTGTGAATTATTATTATTTTTTAATTTATGTTATTTAATCAAAGTGTCCCTTAGTCCCCTCTAAAGAGTCAAGGGTCACATTTGGCATTATTAAATCATTAGAATGTTACTTAATTGTGATAATTATATTGTAGTTGAACAAGTAATCTTACTGTGAAATGTTTACTATCTTTTGTTGTTGTTGAGTAAAATGTTTAGAAAATAATAAATTGTGATATTTATATTGTAGTTGAACAAGTAATCTTACAGTGAAATGTTTACTATTTTTTGTTGTTTTGGAATCAAATGTTTAGAAAATAATAAATGTGGATTCTAAGATGGATATATAAAACCGGAATAAGACAACAAAAAATAATTAATCTAAGTTTAATACGTGTGAACAACTAATTAACGATACCTAGATTTACATAGTAAAATGAAATGTTTCGAAAGATACAATATTATAATACTACATTGTTTTTCTGCACACGTTAACTATCCATGAAAAACAATTTTGAATGAAGATATTAAAACTTAATAGATAAAAATGTATTGAATAAAATCAAAATAAAAGGAATAAAGAGAGAAAATAGCAAAAGATACATAGTACAATGATTGGCTGCACAAAGATAGAGTTTGCGCACCCATGTGGAGACCAACTATTTGAATGTTTCATGGTATAATATATATATCTACACATTTTATTTATCAACGAATGGATTTATTCCTTGTATAACCTCCTATACACGGTACACTCTAATCGCAATTTAGACCAGTTGCATATATAACTACTATATGAGATGGGCATAAGTACTATATGAGATGGGTAACATATATTCATGAAATTATTATATAAGATACTAACTATTTTAATCTCTTTAAGAAATATTTTGCAGAAAAAAAAAAACTAGAACAAAATTTCAAATTCTAAAGGGGCCAACTTCTCATGCATTTAACATTTTTTTTTTTTAAGAAACAGTTATTCGTTCCACAAAAAAAAGAAATATTTATTCCTGAGAATAGAATAATAATAAATTCATGATATAAAACCTTGAAACATATATGTAAATTTCGAAAATGCTAGAATTAGAAGAAACATATCCGTTTGGATTTTCACGTGAAGGCATTTTCCCAAGCGAATATATGAAATTTCGGAAATGTTAAAAACAAGCCGAATAAACAAAAAATGAAAGCCGAATTCGAGAGGGACACTTTACTATTATTATTTTGTTAAAACTATAAGTTTATCTAAGCAAATAATCTAAATTGATTATAAACTAGTTGGAAAGCACGGGACCACATATTTTATATTGATTCAAGCAGCCGGATAATTAAACTTATACATGGAAATGTTATTGGTCGTTGATGATAATATTATTATATTCAGTAAACTAAGTAGTAATAATCTATTGATTATTGGACGGGCTACAATACAAAACCTCCGGGTTACGTGGGATCTTTGTCCCTCACGTTTCCCCCAAATGATGTTGACTTTATTTGACTTACTCAATAAGATCCCCCTAGCCGTAGGATAATTGAGTTAGTCTTTTCAGTCCGTCAGATTCGGAGGTCCAAAATCTTGGAATCCCATCGACTTGGATCTGTTGCAATCCTTTAATGTGTTTGATCAATTACTGAAAATTATGCCTAGTAACATTAGTATAGAGTCGAGGTAATCCATTTTTTGATAAGTGGGAAGACGTTGGATTGGTTTCGAATAGTAAAAATGGATCACACGTTACAGAATTAGCAGATCAAGTAAATCAAGTGGTTTAATTGTAGACTAAATAAATTAAACGGTTCAACTGCAGATCAAAAGTTCAATTGCGAGTCTAGCAGTCTTAAATGACATTTAAGGTTCTGAATGGAATAAGACTAAACAATAATTTTTTTTTAAAAAAAAAATACAGTCTAAGTGTGTTACATACAAATTTGTTATTTTTTTTTTGAATAAGTGAATATATTTTTTTTGAAATTATGATTGATACCTTTATATATTTTTAAAAGTATGATTGATAATAAAAAAAACTGTAGAAACTGTAACTGTTACTTTTAAATATTAATTTTAGATTTTTTTATCTAAATATAAATTTTATATTTTTATTTTATTATAAATATAAATATATAAATTTTATTGTTTTTTTAATTGTAACACAAATAATTTTGAAAATTAAATATTTATATGATAAATCAAATCTCAAAAGAAAGAGAAAAATGTATTAATAATTAATTAGTCAAAATCTATTTGTTATGAAATTTATATAATGCGAGAGAATGATTTTAAAATTTTTGGGGTAGAAGAAAGAAAAAACAATTTATTATTTTATTTATTTATGTTAGATAATTAAATTTCAAAGTAACAAAAACTAAAACATAACGAAAAGAAGAAGAGAAGAAACAAAATAGTTGAAAAAGCAAAGAAAATGTGTCTGTAGAAAAAATTTAAAAAGAAAAAAGAAATTTTTTAAAAGATTTTAAAAACTGTTAAAAATTATAAAGTTTAATTGGCTAATTTTTTTACTTTTAAGGCACCAATCGGGGCCTTGGTAAATAACATAAATTTAATTTTGTTGTACATTATAACTATTTAGACCAGCGAATCTGAAATTTTTCAACGACTAAACTCCAACTCAAATAGTTGGGTGGTTTTGCTTTCTATTTTCTAACTAATCCTAGGGCTATAAAACTTCAATCCCAAGGCAGTGTTAAAAAAAAAAAAAAAACCTAAGCCTAAGTCCTATACTAAGAGAGCAAAGTAATGAAAATCACGAGGCTGCTGCTTAGCAGTATCATGACCCAACCGCTATCTGGCCATACCGATCGCAACTTATCCGTAAAAGACATCCCCAGAAACGCCCATAGTCGCGTTGAGAGCAGCCGAATCGTTGCCAAGACCACGAAAAAGAGACTTATCAACAGAACTCCAACCTCTTTGCCCTCTAGATTTGCTTGCTCTCTCTCAATCTTCTCTACATCGGACCTGATCCCAAGAAACAAGCAAAAGCAAATGTTTCAAGTCACGCGATAGCTTTTTCGAATGCGTCGGTTTCTCTACTTTGAAATCCAAAAAGAGTGTACTGACCTCAACGCATTGTTTCCTCTGGCCAACGACTCTACACGGGAAACTACAAGAGTTTTCCATAGCTCGAGGTCTCTAAGTTCCTTTTCCTGCTCAAAAGAGTATCAAATTCTCATTAGTAGTTTAAATCTCAACGGATAAAGACTCATATATCATATGAGAATGAAAGAAATGAGAGTGACAAAAGAGGATCGAACGAGAGAGAGATGATTTACCATTTTCCCTTTCCACTCTGTGATCTCTCTGATTCAGCTTTGCTTTTCTCCACAAGCACAAGGGTTTTCTTCATCTCCAAGCCAAACTCTGGTTGCTTCTCGTTCATTCCTTTCACAGAGTCCTCAAGAACCGATAGATTCATCTCAATCAGCTTCACTTTCTGCATCAACAGTTTCAAAACGTTATGCTTCTCCCTAACTTCATATTTCTTGTCTCCCACGATATTAATCGTCTTCCCAACATCATCTCTCTTCTTCTGAACTCCAGTCTCCTTCCCAATCTGATCTGTCCTATTGTTTCTCACTTCCCCATCTTGATTTTCATCTGCGGTTTTGGTTTTTACTACATGATTCAGTTCCAGCATAGCTGGTTTACTGGGAAGTGTCTCTGACCCAACAAACAGATCCTCAAGCATTTGCTCAAGAGCATCGATGCCAAAGACCTCCACAACACTCAGAGTACAGTAAAACTCAGACCCGTAGTGACTAATCAAGTTCAGCTTAAGATATCTCAACCATTTAGGTTCCGGGAGCCGGAATGTCTGCACCTGCTTGACATTCGCAGCCACGAAACTCCCAGCGTGCGCCCACAGCTCGGTCGGGTAGCTCAGGCTCCCGGACAAGCTAAACTCTTTGAGGTTCGAAGAGTAGTGCTCGAAATTCGCGACCCTCACCGTGTCAACCAGCGTCTCCTCCGCGAGCTCGATCACGACTGACTTATTCGACACCGAACAGGGGTTTCTTAGATACTTATCATGATCTTTGCCAAGAACATTGCTAGCTCCTTTGGCTTCCTTGTTGTGGTCCACTACTTTTGCCCCCTTCATAGCAGAAGCGTAGTTATAACCAGTCCCATCTGGTTCTAACCTGTAATGGGTTGCATTCACTAGGTGTGATGGCACGCTCGTGCCGTTTACTGTGAGAGTTTTGTTGACATATCCTCGATCTCGGGCTTCCAGGGTCTTGTGCTTTCTTCTTCCTTCTTGTAGCACGACTTTGCAGATCAACAAAGCGTTGTTCCCAAGAACATGCTCGTACACATCTCTTAACCGGCCGTTTCTCAGGAGACAATAGTTGTTGTTTGCTTTCTCAGTGGCTTGAGGGGTGACAGAATCTCCAGAGCTCGTGGAATTTAGGATCTTTGAGACTGATTCATCCGCGTGATTCCCAATTCTATCTACGAAAGAAAATGGGTTTGTATCTTTAGAGACTGGAATGCAAAGAGATCACATTTACAAGATTTTTGAAAATTTGTTTTCTAGACTCATAAATTAAACTTTCCTTAATTAACATCTATAAGTGATTAGGACGAAACCAAAAACACGTTTGGTATATAGGACGAAACAAACCCGAAGCAAAGTTAGAAAATATCAGGGAAACACATTTTACCTCCATGATTATGGCTAAGACCAAGCTTGGAGTACACGAGGAAGAGGAAGCACCAGAGTAAGAGAACGAGTGAGATAGAGCGCTCGAAGAAGCTGCCCCTTCTGGAATTAGTATCAGCCTTCTCGGAAAATCTGACCATCCGAAACCTGAAATCGTTGTTTTGCCTACGAAATTTCTCTTTCAGGCATAACGTCGAACAACTTCCGCGCCTCGCCATCTTTGAGCAGAGCGAAGATCAATACACGTGTGTACATACACAGGTGGAGACAGAGAGAGAGGGAGAGAGATCGTTGGTTGTATGACTCGTCTGAAGAAACGGAGAAGATGGCACGAGGAAGAAGAAGGAGAGAGAGAGAGAGAGATCATGCATTAATGTGTTGATGTGTTGTGTGGTCTGAAAGAGGAACCTGACATTTGCCCGTCGAGAAACCGAGTTCTTCGGAATTTAATTACTTTTTATTTTCTTTTAATTTCTAAAAAATTACTTAAATTTTCATAATCTTGATTGTTACAAATGACAATTTAATTAACTTCGATTGTTAGCAAATTAAGAAAACTCTTTGACCGAGGTTATATTTTCGTCTGTTATTAATAAAAAATAATAGTCCGAAACTTCAGAGATTTTGAGTCAAAAGTTACAATGGCAGTCACCGGAATCACGCCGGAGCATTGACGTCGGAAGAGTGATTAAGGAGGACAAAGTCGCCGGATTCACGCCGGAGATGCTCAGGGACAAAAGGAAGACTTCCTGGATTCTGCTCTTGTAACAGAGAATCTAACGGAGTCTGAGGAGGATAATGGTCAAGTATGAAATCTAATGCTTCTCCACTTATCTCTTTCTCCTTCAATAGAACCTACACAAGAACAACAAAACATTAAAAAAGAAAGAAGTATGAATCAAACAACGAAAGCTCGCAATTGCGGTTCAATTACCTTAACGGTTTTGAGAAGAGCGGTTTGGTTTTGCGTGAGGAGAGAGACGGTTTTGTTATACATCTGGCTGATGAGTTCTTCACTTCTCTGTGCAACTTCATCATCCATGTTGAAGTTAACCGGCGGTTCAACGAGGTCATAGTCGTCATAGAGAGATCCTTCAAAGTCCAAGCGTGGTCCCACGAACTGAGCCCTCTTTCTCCATGGTGGTGGTTCGCCATGTATCACCATTGGGTTCTCCAAGTTCCATCTGAAACCCAAATACAAGTCTTGAGCAAGAAGAAGAAGCTTTTACTTAACAAAGGGAATGTGAAAATGTGCAAAATTGGGCTCACATGGTTAAGATTTTACGAGCTAGCCATGATGCATCAGAGAGATAATCGACTGATGCCTTTGAAGTATCTGAGCCGTAGATAACTTCTTCTGCAGCTCTTCCTCCGAGCAAGACCTGCAACAACAATTTCGTAAGAGAGAAAAAAGCAACCTAGGCCTAATATCAACAAGTTTTTAAAAGGAAACCCACCTGAAGACGATGAAGCAGTTGTGGACGACGACCAAACATGTAGGACTCATCATCAAGGCGATGAAACACAACTTGAGACAGTGTCTGACCACGAGGAATAATGGAAATTCGATCGCACCGCTCAATCTTTGCATTCTCATAACGCATTAGAAGATGTGAAGTGAGTGCAACTCCGACCTCAGTTGTGGCTCTGCGACACTGACCTTCGTGTCCCAATTCTAAACCAATACGTGTCGGACCAACAGTGAGTCGGTCAACAGCGTCGTCCATGTCTGATTGAAGAATCGAGCTATGCGTTTTCCTGACTGCTACTAGAGCAGCCTCTTGAACCAACTGCGCCAGTTTTGCTCCGGACCATCCTGTGTGTTGATATAGACCAAATAGTCGGATCAATACAAATCCAATAGGTTCAAACAGAGACTTTCTCTGTGGTATTAAAAATCTTTGACATCAATTTGTAGATTTAATACCTGGTAAGTTACTTGCATACGACGACAAGTCAACAGAATCCGACATCTTGACTTTGCTGGCGTGAATCTTCAGAATATCCAATCTCCCTTTCGCATTAGGGGGACGAATCCTTATCTGATAAAAAATATTATTTCTTTATGTGATTTGGTAAATCATTGATTCGTAATAATTGCTATCAATTTTAACAAGTAAGACCTAAGCATAAATATCGAAGAGCAGGGTCTTGCTAAATCAACAAACCTTTCGATCAAATCGACCTGGACGCAGAAGAGCAGGGTCTAACAAATCTCTGCGATTGGTGGCACCCAAGAAAATCACACCTTTGCCAGTGTCAAAACCATCAAGCTCGATGAGCAACTGATTCAATGTGGTTTCTCTTTCTTGCGTAGCTGCATTGTACGACTGGTCTGAGTTTTCCTTGAAAATCCCTTGACGCCTAACGAATACCATAATTTAAAAATAGACATCAGTTAATCTCCATCTCAAGTTAGAAACAAAAAGGCAGTAACTATATCAAAATCAAGATGCAAGGGAAACAAATTGTGTGTGTACCGAGTTGCTAAGGCGTCGATTTCATCGATGAAAATAACGGATGGCTTGTTTACCTGCACAAGGACATGGATATCATCAAATACTATTGAACATCTCTGCGCATAAAATGCTTACATACACATCTCTCCAATCACCTTAGCTCGTTTAAACAGATCTCTGATACGAGCTGAACCAACCCCAACAAGCACTTCGACGAATTCAGATCCTGCCATTTGGTAAAAGGGCACACCAGCTTCTCCTGCGATGGCTTTTGCAACGAGTGTCTGCGAAAGCAAGTCAGGTTAGGTTAAGCTCTATATCGCTAGCGATTGGATTGTCAAAAAATGTTTTAGATTGGCATACACATACCTTGCCACAACCAGGGGGACCCTCTAGAAGAACTCCATGAGGAGGTTTAATTCCCATCTTATCAAACAGGTCGGGATTCTTCAAGTACTTCACAAGCTATCAAGACAATCATATGACAATAAGAGGTTAGTATTCTTCAGTTCCTTGTTTCTCTCGAGCTTCACAGGTTTGAAAAAAAATTTATGTCATGCAACTTTGTACTTACTGGTGTACAGTAAAGGTTCATTCAAACAAAATTTAGCAGGTGCATATAGTATTCATTATTACGAACAAGCTTCTTGCATAAACAAAGTCTGAGTTTCTTTGATGAATGATCACGAACATCGAAGATATGATGCAAGAGCATGCGATAACGGAAAACAATCTTAATGTTTTGAAGTTAAAAGTAGTAATGTGGCCAAGAGATACCTCTTGAAGTTCGTCAACTGCTTCATCAATCCCTGCAACATCACCAAACTTAACGCCAGTTGAACCCTGTAACATAATCATTCGATGTCATCAAAAACTTAACCAAAAAGGTATTAGAATTGAAGAAACGTGTATATAAGAGAAATGGTTAAAAACTTACGTCAACACGAGCTTCTGCTTTAGACTGGGAAAAAGCAATTCCTTGCCATAAATCCTGCAAAAACAAAGTTTTATAAGTGATTGAGTGCAAAAGCAACATCACTTAAAACACGTAAAAGCAGGCATTATAAGATTACAAGTAGTATACCCATTTCCTAAAGTTCTTTGGTCTCCGTGACAGCGTGAAACGAACAAGAAGAACCATAGTCATGACAACAAGTAGGATTGGTTTGAGCATCTCAAGGCTTGAAGATACACCACCAAATGTGTAGAAATCAGAAATCCTAGTGAAGATCCCCCCATCGGCGAGAACATCAACAAGGTAATCCCATGATCTTTCAATAGCACCGAGGAAGATGCCCAGAAACAGTTTGAGGAAAGGCTTTACTATAGGCCAAACAACATAAACTACAGTGACAAATGCGAAACTTGTGACTGCAAAAACAGCTGAGGCTAAGAATCCTCCGACAACAACCGCCGCTGCAGCAATAACTGCCGACACCATTCCCAGCTCAACCATCACTCTACTTGAAATAGAAGACGCGACTGGGTTCGGGAAGTCTGCCACTTTTCCAACCCAAGACTGCAAATTAACATATATAGACAAACTAAGTTAATAGACTGACACAATACATTCAGCAGTAATATGGAGGACATTAGACGATGATCTAGTAAATAAAATCCAAATGAAAACAAAAAGACTGATCACCGTCATGTGCCTTTCTATTTCGTACTGCGGACCAGAGTATTCCTTCAGAAGAGCTTGAGCTTCTCCAACTTCAAGCTTCATTGACCTATCAAGAAGCAGAATCAGTAAGAAACAAAAAGCAATATTCTGTATCCATCTAAAAAGAAACTTTCTTTCTTAGTCTCGTTTTAGTAATTCACCATTTGGTTCTCTGTAAGCTCTTGACTCCAGGAATTTCCTTAAGATCAACGATGAAATCTCTATAGCGAATCGTGTAAGGAGCGCCAGAAGCTTCCTTCGATGTCAAAAGCTTGACTTTATCATTCTTCATAGCTTTTCTAAAATCTTCCAAGCTCATCTTTGGTAAAGCTTTCACATACTTCTCAAAGTCCTCTTCCTCAGATAACTCTGGCCCGAACACTTGCTCCGGGACATAGAGCTTCCCCTTGTATTCCCTCAGGATATCACTCAAATAAACAGACTCATTTCCAGTTCCGCTGCTATTTCGACTTTCACTGCTCTCTTTCTCCGTTTTCGTCTTGGAATCAAGCTTACTTCTGATAAATTCAAACGCACCATTCGCATTGGCGCCTTTGCTCAAATCCTCTCTCTCCTTCAGATTATACAGCTTATCCCCAACTCGATAACGAGGCTCCACCTGGCTAGGATTCTCCTTCAAAACCCTAGTTACGAAATCATCGCCGGCGGGATTGTTCGCCTCCCCGGATTTCAATTCGCACAGAACCGTGAACGACCGGCGCAGAATCGGAGCTCTCCATCGAGGTTTGGCAGCGAAACTCGATGCGGCCGCGTGTTTCCAGATCGATTTGTTGTGATTTTCTGGGAAACGAATCCCGAGCGAGAAGACAGTGTCTACAGAAGACATTTTACGACGATAACCATGTACAGGAGTAGCACGAATTCAAAAAGCTTTCACCAAGTAAGATAGAATCGCATTGCGAATTTTGAATTTTCTGAGATTGTTCTGGATAAGAGAAATTTATCGATGTATTTTGTACTTGAATCAGGGGTTTTTTGTTCTGTTCAGCTCCACGGCCACACTAAACTGCAACATTTCGCTTCGCTGCGTTTTATCCGGTCCGACATCAAAACGGGGTTCTGCTCCGGGTCGTATTGATCGGACTTAATCGGGTTGGTTAAACCAAACGAATCAAATTCTGATTTTATTCATTTCTTAATTGTTCTTAGAAGTATTTAATATCTGAAATTAACAAATACATCAGCTATTTAAGCTCTCTAAATCATATACTCTCTCCGTTACAAAAATAAGTGTTGTTTTAGAATTTTATTTCTATTTTATAAATAGTGTCGTTTTGTATTTTTAGTGCA